TAGATGGCACTCACTTAAGCTGATCTAACAATTTACTTATGTATCTCTGAGCATTGGAAATAAAGTCTTAATTCTATCATTTTTGAAAAAAAATGTTTTTTAGGCTATACAAACATCTGCAAATGGCTGCTATCTCATTCCACTAATTAAGAAGGGCTATCTGAATGGCTTTATTAATTATAGTAATTATGATTAGTAGTAATATAGTTTGTCATAATGGAAGGATAGAAACATGAATATTCAGGGTTATTCACCAAAGTGTGAATTGTTGGAATTTAAAAATGATTTCCAAATTTTTTGTCAAAATGGCCGAACAGAAAAACATAGTTGTCTAATTGTCTCAAAGGTTTTCTGGGATACCTGTACCTGCCATTAAGCTCTTGTATGCCTGCTCTTTCTTTACCACAATTATTGTCCAGCAGTCTCTAGAAATTCACTGCAATGAGGCCCACCTTTTATTATATAGAATATAGACACGAACGGTTCTTATCTGCCGTCACATTCTATGTTTCTACAAATACTTGTCATAAATTACCTTAGCATTAAATGTTCTCTATTGCTAGAAGAAATGCACCAGTGATTATATAATTGTGTCAAATATATATATATAATGCTAAAATTGTTTTATCAGAGATAGTTTGAATACACACAGCTTAGTGAGTAAAATCAAGATCTGTGACCAACCATTTTAATTCAAAAAGCCTTGTTTCAGAATCAAGCTCTGTCCTTGTTGAACTTACTTTGGAAGAGAAATACGTTTTTTCTTTTTTTTTCTTTTTTGTAAATGTCAGATAGTATTGTTTCTTATTATTTCGCTTTTCGATATAAATTTTACTTCAAAGTTCATTTTCATCCTGTTTGAGAAAGTCAACAGTAGCACTACATGATTAGGAAAACATTATTTTTTTTTCAGGTCATTGCATAATATTTACAGCACGGGAACAGTCATGCCAGATAATGAAGCACTTAGCCGGAGTTGTGTATTGACACAGGCTTCCTGCCTCTGCTGCTGACTTCCTGGGAGGAACATCAGGCCTTTTCCTTGTGTTCATGTCGGAAGAACAAGGGCCGTACCCCAATCAACCATACTGTAGATCACACAAAGATAAAAGGACACCTGCATCCCTTTAACATTAGTTATTTGACCACACTTTGCAGCTGCCTAGGGAGGAGGGATAAGTATATGCCAACTGAATAGAAAGACCAAAGTATAAATTTTATTTCTGTATGAATTAAAAGATAACAAAACACATAACATAATTTAACACATAATTGATTTTTTTTTTTTCTTACTTATTTGTGCCAAGGATAGTGCAAACATTTAGCCAGCTTATCTCAGCATGACACTGCACATATTTATCAAAAATCAACTCCGAGTTCCTTATATTTGTAATGGGATTATAGAGTTTGGCTCTCTCCATGTGATCAACAATTATATTTAAAACTTTATATATATATATATTTTTTTTTAAATAGCATCGTCAAAGACATTCGGAAATATCTTCACAGATTATGTGAATTTAGACAGATTACATTTTAAAAACAGAGCACAGAGCACCTTACAATAGTTGCAGATAAAGAGTCTTTGAAGGCTTACTACAGGCACCATAACCACTTTAGTGTTTTGAAGTATGATATGAAATACTGCACATACAGATATTTTTATTGTTGCTGCCGGTGGTAACTCCACCTCTGGGAGAGTCATTAGCAAGCCTGGCAGGGGTGTATCTAGAAACCTCAGGGCTCCGGTGAAAGGCCCCCGCACCAATGATGGGGCAGAGGCGACCAATAGCTAGATCCTCAGCTGCCGTACAAATCCTATGATGCTTTGCCAGCTGTGGATCTGCTATTTACCAATCCTTGCAAGCAGGGGCGGGCTGGGCCGGGGGGCAGGGAGGCAATTGCCCCCCAGGCCGCCCTAAATTCTGTTAGGACCGGCCACTGCAGGGCCGGCCCTTTAAATGCTGCAGCCGCCTGAGCGCTCTGTGAAGAGCCTCAGGCGGC